CGCAATCTTAAGCTTTCCAGTCTGGAAAATGACTTGCTTTGCACTCCAGCTGCAATGAAAAAAAAAAAAACCAAAACCAAACCCTCATCAGGACGCTATTTGTTTCTTTTTGAGAACTTGGTAATCCTTGTTGTATTTAAGGATCTCTTTGGAAAGAACGAACAAGGATTTCAGGCTTGGCTCTACGTAAGCGTTATCTAAAGACAAGACTCCCTCAATGCCAAGTAGTGATATTTTTTTTTTCCCTTTCTCCTGCCTTTTAGACCTTTTTTTAGAGGCTGAATGCCTTGTTTGACTTCACAATATAATAGGATACAGAAATATATGTCATTGCCTCAGTTGCTAACTCAGGAGGTAATAAATTTTCTTTGTACAATGCTTTCTGTTACTGAAAAGAAAAAGACTGCACTGATTTGCTCATGGGGATGCTCTTTGCTATGTGTTCCCTTAGTCTCTGATATTCTATTAGCCTGTGATTTTTAGCAGCATGCATTTGTGCCACATGCGTGTTGCATCCCTTCTTCCACTGCCTGCTTTTCAGCTGCTTTTTGTTGTTACAGAGAACCTGAATTATTCAGTCTCTTGGTTGTGAATGTAATTCTGTTCACTGCCTGAAAGTGAGGTAAATGTTTGGGAGCGGTAGGCACCTTTTTAGACTTCCTGGGAAGCAAATGTACAAATGACTGGTGTCGCCAGCAACTGGAATTTCTTTGAAATTTAGTCTCTCTAGGAGTAGTGCGGAGTAATTGGTTATCTTTATTTGCATTCTGAACTCCAGCACTAACCACTTAGTTTGTTAGTGCTTGGTTATTTTCTATCTTCCGTTTTACACATTATGGAATTGCTTGTTATTGATGTGTAAATTATGATGTCCAAAACAGAACCAGGACTTCGTTATGCTGAACTGTCTGATATCATTCTGCCTCTCAGAGGAAAAAAGCTTGTAGGACAGGCAACAAATTCTGAATTACTTATTTCAACTACCGTACGTGTTACAGTGATGGCAATGAGTAGATTCAGGAGGTTTAGTTTCAACAGTGATCAAAATTGCTCTAATGTGGAAGTAGTTTTCTTTTTTCTCTCATTTTTTAATTAAGAAAAAGGAAAAAAAACCACCTCGTGATGCTGGTGCACGTTCCATTTATAATACTGTGGCTGCATACTTGCCATAACATGCACTTGGCTTCTATTCAGTGTTATTGCTCTGAAAGCAATTTTTATTTTGAGGCTGTGTTAAAATATATTGAGTCTTATACTTCCAAATGTACATACTCATTTAAACTATATATTTGTCATTGCAAGCACTGTTAAATTGCAAACGAAAGAGCCGCCTGTAACAATTCACCTTAACATGTGTCTAAAGAAAGTAACCTCAAATAAAAGAAATGCTTAAACCAGGAAAGGCGTGTGTATGTTTCCACTCTTAACTTGGCAGACCAGCAACCAGGTACACCCCTCACCCTGAATGTCCACTGGTTATGTTTTGTTTATTATCTGCATGTTGGGGAAAACTTCATTCCTCAAAACCAGGAAATGCAAAATGCTCTCACCTTTTAAAGCAATACCAGTCAAATTTCAATTCCCGAAAACTTCAGAATAAATTTTTTTCTTTTTCAAAATGCAGCATATTCAACCAAGAGATCTCCTTTGGGTAGCAGATATGCGTGTGTTGTCACTGGCTTTAGAATAAATTGGTAAAACAAAATGGGAGCCATGTAAAACATATAGTGGTTTATTCATTATAGTAACTTTGTGAATTCTTACTTGGTTGACCCCATTTATTTATTTATTAGTTCAAAGGAAGATAAGCTGGCTAAAGGCCTGCAGACTCCGGGAGAAAACATAAATTTTACTATGTTTCTTAGTATTTGTGTGACTTAAAATGTTACTAAAGCAATTACTAATTCATCCCCCAAAATAGATTTTAAATTTGTGTATTTGATTGTTCTAATATAGCCAGTTTATTTCATTGGCTGTAATATTTGTCATACTTTCTTACATATTTTAAATTATTATAATAGAGAAGACACTGGCCTGTACATGCTTTAAAACACTTGCATGTTTATGGATGGTAATGGCATTCATTTGAGAATATATAAAGCTAAAGAGAGAGGTTTTCTTGCCATTACTGTTTAGTTTGATATTGTTTCAATAATCTAATCTTATTGTTACACAGGAGTGTGTCTGATAAATGGAGGAGAGTATAACCAATTTATAAGGGGCAGTTTTTCTTTCCTTTTTAAATGTATAAAGGAAAAACATATACACATTCATACACATACATGCTTTCTAACTTCTAGGAAAAAAACCCGGAGGAGAAATTGTTTTGGATAACAATAAAGATAGCAACTTAAATATTGCAAAATGCTGCACCCTAAAATAATGATACCATTACCAGCTCTTTTAGCTTTATACCGAAAAGTATTTTGTTTAGTGATGTATTTATTTTTTTTTCCCTAGGAAAGTGAGGGAAAAGTACAGTTGTTGCATTTCTGGAGAGGGTATGCATTGAACCATTTGATATGCAGGGTATGATATGGAATGGATTGTCATATATGGATTGTCACTTCAAGTTTTTCTTACAGGTCTTTTAAAAGACCTTTCTAAAACATTCCCAGTATTTGCTGCAAAAAGATAAATCTTTGATACTAATCTATTGGAGGACGAGTCTTCCAATTCTAGAGCCCTGCTCCCTGGTTCAGTGTACATAATTATTTATTTGTCAAAGTCTTTGTCATGGACAGGCAAACGCGAGACGTGCATACGCTGCGTTGTACTGTGCATGATACTCAGTTTCATCCGTTAAAAGAAGAATTGATTTTAAATGGGGGAAATACTGCTGTTCAGTAATCCAGTTCTGCAGCATTACTGCTGCGTGCTCCATGTATTCCGTTTGCACACACTTGCATGCAGCATATATGCTGTATGCATGCTGCATATTTCTGTTTCTTTCTGTTTGAGTGTATAAATGATGAATGGAAACTAATTCTGTTTTAACAAAACAAAGCAAATGTCCCAAATAGCAACGATCTTTCTCAACTCAAAGTGGCTGCAAATCAGCTCCCAAATATTGTCACTGAAATTAATATCTAGATTTAATAGTTCTTGCCAATCCTATAGATGTTTTTGAAAAAGGCATTGCATTAATGCATGATATAGAAAGGATAAATTTGCCTTTAAATTGGAATGCAGTTCAAAGTGACTGAATTCTTCAATTTCAGCCACTATATTTGCCAAAGAACAAACTGGAAAATGGAACTGGTATCATTCATCTGCTCCTGGTTCACTGGGAGGTTCGGGGAAGGGACTTCCTATGAAGATAAAAGCAGAATAGTTTATTGATAAACTGTAATGACCACTAAATTTTACAATCTATAGTAGCGTAGGTTCACTTTTAAATTCATTTAGCACAGAAAAGCTGTAAGAAACAATGGTTTAATGATGCTTTATCATCAGTCATTGATACCCCCTGGTAATCACAAGTGGGCTGATTTATAGGAAGGTTTGCTAAGTTTTGCTGTTAGTTAAATATACATATCATGGCTGAACATACTTTATTCTGTTACTTTTAAGTAGCTTAAACTGGATAAAATAGTTCAACTGTCTCTAAACCTTTTAGACTTGAGAGATTAATACAATATTTTGGATTTTTAAAAAATCGCAAATGACGGAAAGGAAAACAGCATTTTCCTCTTAATAATAGGTATTACCCCTATGACACCAGTAACTAGCTGAACAAACATATTGTAAAATTATATATATATTATGTACAATTTGTTTCCAACATTGTGTTATTTCGTGGTTCTGGTTTATTATGTAAGGTGTGGTCAGCAGTGCAGAAATACAGAAAATAGTATCTCCCCCCTAGGAATTTTAAATCTTAATATAAAATTGAGTTAGTTATTCCTCAGTGAGAGACAGCTGATTTAAATAAATAAATAAAGACCTATGTTTGTCCATACTGCTTCCTCTCAAATGTTTTAGCCTACGTTTTCAGCTGATTCGTCCATTAAAATTCTTCTGCGGAAATGATGATGTTGTTCTCCAGAAATCTTCAGGGCTTTGTTTTAATCATTTAGCTGTCCTTTCATGTTTCTAAAACAGATTGATCTGTGTGACCTCCAGAGAAGTCACAATCACGTTGTTTAAAATATCCTGCTTAATATGAATTTTTCAGAGGTCTGTCCCAAGCTGTCTCTGTGTGCATAAGGGACTCGGCTAATAAAGTCTGAGAGAAATCAGTCTCAGTGACTGAGAGAGTCAAATTACAGAAATTTCATGTTGTCTTGTATCAGCATGTCAGCAATATAGATACTTCATCCCTGTTTTGAACCTTCAAAATAAACAGCTATGTCATAGTGACTGATACCAGTTCCATTTTGCCTACCAACTCAGTTGATTTTATATTTTATTTCTCATTTATGATGGAATAATCAGCAGCTCTTTTTCTCATTTATTTTCTCATATTTTTATTCCAGGATTTGCCTCTGAAGCAGGGAGTGTCTGCATTAAAAATGACCTGTAGTTCTCTGCTTCATAGGTTAGAAACTTATTTTAATATTTTGTGGCTAAGCACAGTCCCGTCTTTTTCAAAAATAAAAAATTCCAACAATAAATGGTTTAATTGGCATTGAATGTGGATTATAAGCATTTTGCATTGGGGCTTCCATTATTTTAGATGAAATGGCTTCTACACAAATAACTAGTCCAGCTGAGGCAATGAAAGCTCTGTTTACTTGCAGCCATTTTTATGAATTAACATTAAGTTTTAAAAAAGTTGATTACAGTGGATCATACTAAGTCTTATTTGGACATTTCCAAAGTACTGTACTGGCTAGGCTGTATTGCTTTAAGCATTTACATTCTAAAACTTACCAAATTCCAAATATTTGTTGGGGGAAAGAAATCGGTTCATAAATCACTTTATTTCAATGGGACTGCTATAGCCAGCACACACAGAACCATGTATCTTGTATTTACTTCTGAATTATACACCGCAGATGCTTCTTCAGCTCCTTCCTCTTCCTCCATGGGCGGTGCTTGCAGCTCCTTTACCACCTCTTCCAGTCCTACCATTTACTCTACCTCAGTCACCGACAGCAAGGCTATGCAAGTGGAGAGCTGCTCCTCAGCCGTGGGGGTAAGTACCAGAGGGGTAAGTGAAAAGCAGTTAACCAGTAACACAGTCCAGCAGCAGCAGTCAACGCCGAAGAGACACACAGTCCTGTACATCTCGCCACCACCTGAGGACTTGCTGGACAACAGTCGGATGTCCTGCCAGGATGAGGGGTGTGGATTGGAGTCAGAACAGAGCTGCAGTATGTGGATGGAGGATTCACCCTCCAACTTCAGTAACATGAGTACCAGTTCCTACAATGATAACACTGAGGTGCCACGTAAATCACGCAAACGAAATCCAAAGCAGAGGCCAGGGATCAAACGTCGAGATTGTGAAGAGTCCAACATGGATATATTTGATGCCGACAGTGCCAAAGCGCCTCACTATGTCCTTTCTCAGCTCAGCACGGACAGCAAAGGCAACTCAAAAGCAGGAAATGGGTTGGTATCTGCCTTTTTTTTTTTTTTAAAAGTTCTATCGCCATATGTAAAACCAAACTAATAAAACTCCCCCCACGCCCCATCAAGTGTTCTACTCAGGTTCTCACATAAATCCCTTCCCTTCTCTGCTGTTCCCTTTTGCGTCCTAGCCCGTGATAAGTTCTCATTAGACTTGTTAATGTTTATTTAGAAGATAAGGCTAAACTTTCCTGCAACAATTGGATGCAGCGCTGATGAGCTCATCTGTATTCTTGTTTAAGTGAAATTCCTAAAAGATTGCACAATTCCACTTATAAAATGGCAATGAAAACGTTACTGTATTTAAAAAGAAAGGCAGCAGTGGACTGGACGCACCCTAAACCTTAATGTTTTTTGCAGGATTTTATGTGAGGATTTCAGTCTGTGCACTTTACCTGCTTCTGTTTGCCTCTTTCTCTATTTATCAAATAGGGAGAGTGATGGGAGTAGAAGTTAATGGCTTGTTAAGGTTTCTCATCATTTAAATTAACACATCCTTTTTTATAAAATGTTAAGATGATATGGTGAACCAAAATTTTGTTTTTTCTTGTGAATTCACTTCTGTATTTGATTTTTTCAGAAATAAATCTCTAATCCTGTTTCTCTCTGTGCTTCTGGGTTGTGTGCATGCGTGTGTCTGTATGTGGGCACGCCTGGGTGGTGGTCTCTCATCTCTCCCACTTCACACTGTTCACTAAATGCATTTCAGTAGTTGCTTAAAGAGGAAAAAGTCCATCAGTTTACAATAGAGTGTTGATACATATTTTATTTTTTAACTTGTGGCTTCTTTAGTACTTTTAAGATGGATGGTCAAGTGGATAGATCTGGCTTTTTTTTGGGGGGGTGTTGTATTTTGTTTCTGTTTTTACTTTTATGTATGTGCTTGCAGTACGTTCTAATGTTCATCACAGTAATGGTGAATATTAAAATTTGACTGATGGGAAAGATTATGAACTTCTCATATTCCAAAATGAACTTGTCATATTCCAAAGGGAAAGATCCTGGAGTCTGTATTCCCAGGGTCATTGCAGTTCCATACTTAAAATTTCACTGTGAGAAGGTGATTCTGAGAAACTCTCCAGAGTGTGCTGGCCTGGGTACCGCACTGGGAAAAGCCGAGCTGGGTGGTACCAGGAGCGTTGGCTCTACCGCCCGCTCCTGCCTCCTCGGACCTCTGGGTCTTCTGGTCTCTCCTTACAACAACCGCTCAAAGCTTTGACTGCAGTTGTCCAGCATCTCTTGTTTTCACCAGCTGAAACTGATGATAAAGTAAAACATTAGTACGTGGTAGACCTGAAGAAGCAAGTTAGCATATGTAAAGCAGCTGCTTGGAACTAGGAAACTGCCTCCACCGAGCACAAAGGAGGTCAGGCTCTCCCTTACAAAGGGAAGAAACTTTATCGAAAGGCAAGAACTGGGTGCCAGTAAATGTGATCTCTGGACAGAAAGGGGAGATTTAGTAAACTCTGGAACAATATGTATGATGTCAATCTAAAACATCACAAGACTATAACATTCCCTAAAATATTAGGGGCTAAAGCAGTGAACGTTCATCGGTACTGTCAGCAATGCTCTGTGAACGCAGGGGTAGATAAGCATAATTTTTTTCCTGATGTGTCGTATACAGGCTAGATTGAACTGCAGCAAAACTCTTACGTAACAGAATTGTCCTTTTAAATAAAAGCTCTGGGATAAGAAATGGCCAAGATATTAGAAAACTCAATTTTGCAGTTGGAAGATGGAGATTCGGCATTACAAATCTAGGTCACAGTAGTGACTTTTTTTTTAACTTTCCAGTCTGATGGAGTTCAGCCAAGGGAGTTCATTTACTTTTGGCTTTAAGAAAAGAGCAAGGAAAGCACCCTTGCTAATTTGTGAAGTGGAAATAGCATTTGCCTCAAAAGAGACTTCTAGTCAGTTGTCTTTAAAAGGTAGGAAGAAAAAAAATATTCCCGGGGAAACCGTTGGAATTTGTGAAAGCCTTTTTAGAAACGGACAAATTGATGGTGACGTAGGGCAAAGAGTCTCAGACTTCCGACGTGCTCGGTCTCACTTTCACTTTCAGGTCTCCTCTGGGAACAGCCCTGATGCCAGTGCAGGACCAGGCAAACCTTACCTCATGAAATCTGTTTTAATAGACTCATGGGGTTTGCCACTTACATTTCTTTTTTAGAAAAGAAGTGCTAGCTTTGAGGAGACATTGTCTGGTAACAATTAAGCTAATAAATAAATGGGAGTGTATGAAATATTTTACTATTTGTATATGCATGGATATTAGTATTATAAATAAACTAAGTTAAAAGGATGTGTAAATGATATATCCTCGTAATTTGAGAATAAAGACCACTGAGTTCTGGTGAAGGCTTTACAATTGCTTTCAAGTTCAGCTGATCTGATTGAAAGTAGTGATTACTTTAGGTTTTGTAGAGGGAAAACTTTCAAATAATTGTTAGGCAGCATCTCTTCACATAAATATGACAGTGTATAAAATACCAGTACGTTGACAATTAAGGTAACTTGGGTTTTAAGAGTAAAGTAATGTCAGTAAAACATAGAGCTGTGTTGGAGAGGCCAAAGTGTTAATGTCACACTGCTAAAACTTCACATTTTGAGTGTTAAAAGTGAACTTCATTTTGATGGCTGCCTCTCTAATGCTTCCCTTCAAAATTCAATAATATGTCGGTATCCTGTATTAATTTATGGAGCTGGAAAGTGTGACAAGGTCAGACTCAGCAATCCATGTGATGTCTTTACACGGAGGGTTCTCCTGTGGCGTTACAGTGCCCAGCCTGCCTAACCGAGGTGCAGAAAGCACAGGTCCCAGGCACAGCGTTTTGAATAATGCGGTGGTGTTTGCAGTAGCTGAGGTCGCTCAGTGTTCCTTCCTGCGTTCCCTGTGGGAAGCTAAGAGATCGTAGCTGTGTGATCTAAAATTCTGAGTAAGAAAGAGAGAAGACTTTCATTGAAAGTCCGCTGGAGTAATGTCCTGACAGGAAGAACAGAGAAAGTGATTATCTAAAGAGCTTGAATTTGATTAGGGGTTTTGCTGAACTTGTACAGAAGCAAGAGCATAGTGGTGTTAATTACAGTTTATTTAGTGTATCGCAGGTTTTGTATATGCCACATTGAAGAAGAATTTTGTCCCTTTTCCTAAAGAAGGTATGTTTTTACATAGTGTTTTTATTTTTTTAAAGAGCCTGTTTGACTAGACTGTGGCAGAGTAATCAGGACTCCTTGGCAGAAAGATGGTACTCTCGCAGTCTTCTATACCCTCTAGATCCTGCCTCTCTGCTGTTACTGGGTTGAAGATGAGCATGCAAGGCAGCCAGGGCCGCTCAGGGCCGCACGCTGGGCGTCCGTCCCGGGCTCGGCTGGATGAGCAGGAGGCAGTCCTATGGTGAAGTCGTTAACCAGGAAAAGAAAAACATGAATGAAATTCATACAAAGCATGGACCTTGTAACAGCTCAGCAGTGTCCATTGTAACCCTTTGTTACATATATTAAAAGGTTTTGGAAGATTTAGTAGGAATAAGAGGGTGACAAATAGGACTTTGAGAGGTATGAGATGTGGTGGAATCAGGGAGCAAAGTGCCCGACCTTCCCTGGGGTAGGAGAAGGCCCTTCAGTAGGAAAAGTGCTGGGCCAGGCTGTGCAGGGGCTGGGGAATGGCTTGGAAGTATTTGCGTGCTATGTGGCCTTGTGCTATTCATTGCACAGTAGGAGTTTTAGGAAAGGTGCTGATAAGTTTGTCAGTATAAATCATCTGGTAATTGGGAAGAGAGCACTATGGGTTGCCCCAGCCTTCACGTCAGTAAAAAACTCATGCAGTGGCAAAGCTCTTGGTAAACTATTTTGAAGAAAAAACATTTTTTCACTCTTCTCCCTGAGAAAAAATCCTGGATAAATTACTTCCGTATGTTGCACGTTGGAACAGGATTTGTTTTTTAAGCAATTCACACCTGTTATTTTAACTGCTTTCTTCAGAGTCATTAGCTGTTAGAAACTACTTTTTGGCAGTAAAAAAGAATATTACGTTCTGCGCAAACTCATTGAGCCCTTTTTCTGCCTGTACCGTTTGCCACGGTATGTTTACATTTGCTAGTGTTAAATGGGTTTATTAGACTTCAGTTCAGGATCATTACACAAACCTGCTCTGTATGAGATCAAGATTTATTTTCCACTGTGCTTTAAGGTGAACACAAAATTGATCACATGATGTTATACTTTGGAGGGCTTCTTCATTCAGTTTTAATTATGGAACTGAACACCAGATACAGTGCATCTCAAGGTGCGCACCTGGAAAGAAACAGTCTTTTTGCATACACTGCAGTTCTAAAATCGGTGCGACTATGTCAGAGCTTTTTACAATAACTAATTCGGTTTTAACATAAATTTATCAATCTGTTTTGACAGAAATTAGTATTTGAGTTTGCATGGATATGCAAGTTCAGGCGGAGACAGGCATGAGGCTGTTTTCCTACTTAAAGAAGTATCATTTAACCTTAAATCCATTCAGTATGTGTGCGTACATATGTATATTTGTTACAGAAGCGAAACAGCTTATTCAGTTAATATCAGGCTGTATCATATACTATGAAAAGCAGGTTATGAGCCGCCTTCTGTTTGTTAACATAGTTTAATGCTAATTGATTTTCCCTTCCTTTATGTTTGCTCTCTGAAAAGCAGTTCCTATTTGCGCTGGATGGAGGAGGCAGGGAGGCACTGTTCCTCTTCATCCTGCAGGTTTCCTTCTCTGTCAGAAAGAATTCCAAAGTTTGCTCTCAACTATAAATCTTCTATCCGTTAATATACACTCTTTACCTTTTTAGCTTTTCTGTGATTTAGTTTGTTTTTATTGGGGAGCTGCTTTATAACATCTTTTTAATGGTCTGCTTTGACTTGCCAGAGCATCAGAGAACCAGAAAGGAGCTGGAGGGAAGAAGACACCAATGTTGTGTGGTCAGTATCCGACTAAGAGTGAGGGGAAGGAGCTGAAGATAGTGGTACAGCCAGAAACCCAGCACAGGGCTCGTTATCTGACTGAAGGCAGCCGAGGCTCAGTGAAAGACCGGACACAGCAAGGCTTTCCGACTGTAAAGGTAGGCTGTTTAGTGTTAGGTGATATGGGGACTCCTTTCCAAGGGATGCTTGGTAGAACGGGAGCTGGTTCAATTCAAATAGGCCTAAAATCTCTATTTTTAGAGGGAAGGGGGGAGACTTTGCAGTCTCTTTGCTGTAGAGACTGTACTGTATCTCTTCTTGCAGGTAACAAGAAGCCTATTTGCATCACAAAGTTACAGGAGGAAGGAAGCTTTCTGTCAAGGCAATGATATATAATCTGTGATGCATGTCCTGTTAGACTACAATTATACAAACTGTGTAAATAGATAGACACTTTAAGCATACAAAACTAGGACAGTGAAATGCTGTAACTGTTTGCTGATGACAGTGGGTCGTCATTATGTCTTACTGGTAAGGACATAAGCCTAGGTTTCATTTAAAAAAAATAAAAGTGGCCTTTTCTTTTTTTAATTTTTGTTTTTTTTTTAAATAAGTATCTGAATCCACTTATCCAGTGTCTGTCTTTCAAGTAGAGTCATAAAGATCTAACTGAGGTGTACTTTATGGGTCGTACTGCTCAGTATGGTTAGCAGTAGTGAAGTACATGTGGATTAGGAGAACTGGAGAATGGGGGGAAGAAAAGAGGAAGCGGTTGTATGCACACTTAACAAATACAGCCTGTTTCCTGTATAGACTTTGATGCCTTAAAGTTTAGGTGTTGATGGTCACTTGCTCGGAGGCGGGGATGAGCGGCATACAGGACTGAATGGTGTCCTCAATCCTTCTGATCAAGGGGAAGGATCTGGATAGAGCAGATGCAGTCAGGGATCCAGGGCCTGGCTGCAGAGCTGGTTTCTCCAGCAAGCATTTAGCTGCTTTGTTCATCTTGCTTCATTTGGGGTGGAGAAAAGGATGACTGATGTAATTCACCTTACTCAAAGAGGGGAAAAATTGTTGGTGATCAGGCTTGCCAGCCTGGTGAGGAGGGCTTTACTCTAAGTTTGTCAGAGGATGGGGACCAAAGCCCAGAAAGGAAGGAGGAACTACAAATGGAGGAGAAACACAAGGAAGGCGGCTACAAAGAGGACTTTCACATTCCTGTTCAAAAGGGAGAACATTCAGAGGCTGTTCTCCAGTGACTGCACACTCATGCACAGAGTGTGAATTTGCGGGTCTGGTTTCTTCCCTTGTGTAGTCACAGGGCTGTGACTTGACTGGAATCGCAGAGGCTTGGAGTAGCATACGTGGCTGGAATGCAGTCGTGGATGTGCAGCAGCTGTTCAGAAAGAAGAGAGGACATCAGGTATCATAAGGAGCTCCCTGACTGCACGGATCTCCACCATGAAATTGGAGACTGGCCTGTTGAGCTCAGAGGAAGGGAGGAAGCTCAGGGATAATGTTTTGGTATCTGTTACAGACTGCCTGACTGAGAAGATAAGAGTTGATGCTTTCTATAGGTCACTAACAGGAGTCTCCTGCTCACAGACCTCTCTCATCGTGAAAGGTTTCAGCCATCGGTCCATCTGCAAGGATGGCTACATAGCCTGGTGGAAGCAATCCAAGAATCTTGGGACTGTGCTTGTGAAGGTTTTCTAATGCAAATAGTAGAGAGGCTTACCAGGAGTAATGTTGTACTTGACTTACACAGAGACAAACAGAAGAACTGATGTCAAATACCATCACAAAAGTTGCAGTGACCACAGTATGAATGTGAGAGTGGACACTGACCTGAATACAAACCAGCATTGCACACTCATTGGAACGAAGGCAAATGGCATCCTGCTTGTATTTGGAGGAGTGTGGCCAGCAGGTCGAGTGAGAAGACAACTATATTTGTTATCATACAAATAAGAAAGATAAAAGACATTTCCTTTCATACTTTTTCTTAGTTATGCCACTTTGAGAAAGCAGCAAAGCAGTTCTCAATCCAAACTGATGTACCAGGTCCACAAAGAAATGTTTATGATACAGCCTTTAAAATTTGTGCTGACTAATGCTGACAGAGTACAGAAGTATACTTATCTTTAAAGTCCTGTTCAACACTGTTAGAAACATCTCCAACACTTCACTCGGTCCTCCTGAGTAATGTAGAAATCCAGTAAAGTTTCATAAGAAAAGGATCCATTCATATAGTCCTGTTGCTATGGTGATTTAGTGCTCATTTATGTGAATTTTCTTAATGGGCCTTTGTTCATCTGAATTTCCTTTTAATTCCTTTCCCAGTTACCCTTTAGCACCCGTCAGTGAAAATTGTTTGGAAGAGTCTTGTGTTACTGAATTCCTGGAAGTTCAAGCTTGCTTTACCAGTAGGCAAACTAGTTCATACCCTGCATATAAAAGTCTGCCAGGGTTGGACAGACAAAATGAGTCGGTGGATCTTCAGGAAATCTGAGTTAGTGGAAAAAAAAAACATGTAAAGGACAAGAGGGCTTTTTTGGGGTGTGTTTTAAAGATGGGGAAGAATAGTGTAAAAATGTTGCTAGTTCAGTAGAGATCTGGTGCTTGCTCTTCTCTGGCAGCACTTGTGATGAGCAACCATTCAGATGCATCACTCTTAAGCAGACTGAGGAGGAGAAGCAGGTTCTGTGGCCCTTTAAAGAAAACCATGTTACTTGATGACTTAGAACTAGAGAGTCTATAATCAATATGCAACATTAAAATTGTGTAAACAAACCTTAGTCAGGTGACTCGTCTGGCAAAACAAAGATCATCCTGAATGCAAAGTGTCAGCAGAGGTATTCCAGCCATCAGTAGCAGATTTTAATGTTTTCTTGCTAACAGTATTGCAAAGCTGGAGCAGTTACCATCCAGATGATGAGAGATGCTCTTGCACACCTTTCATATCTTCTTCTAACAAGAACACTGGGGAAGAAAAGCAACACTGGTTAGCTGTGGTGATGCTGTTTCTAGCCAAGGAGACCTTGATGACATGACACAAAGACCGTTCATTTAGCCTTCCATATAAAAGAGATTCAATGGTAGAACAGAGTACCCTTTACTCCCCACTTCCTTTTGACCACCTGGTGAAATTAAGTTCCCTCGTTGGCTGTTTTCACGGTCTCTTGTTTATTCGTGCTCTCTCGGCTTTTGAGCTCTTTAATATGAACTATACCTGTTAGTCTGTGGTTCATACATGGGACCTTGCACTAGGCCGTCTCCAGAAATCTTTTGGCTTTGCCCATCCGTAACAGTCATAACCCACCTACCTGCTGTAAGCTAATTGCTCCTTTTGGACAGGAGGAGCGTACTATTTCATCAGTATTTGCTGATTTTTTTTTTTTTTTTTCCCAAACTTGCTAAGAACTGCCGAACTAAATGTTCTAAGTGTGTCAGGGACTAATCCCCTAAGAGATCCTCTGGAGGATTCTGCTCTCATTTGCATCTCCTTACTAGTAAAGATTGAGCTTCCTTCTGCAAGTATTGACTGGGCTTCCAGGCCTAGGATGAAACATAGCATTGTCACCCAGAAATCCTCTAGCAACAATTGTGGCTTAATGAAAACATTAAAAATACTTGTTTTATCTCCTCCTAAAATGCTGTGGCAAAGAATTTCCACCTCTGGCCTGGGAATTTGGCAGCGATGTAGTGTTTCTTTTTACTTGGAGTATTTTTGTTCTGTTACCTAAAAAGAGTAAGAGACGTTACTTGGTAATACAATGTCCAGGTTTACTTCAAGACTTAAGTCAGAGCATTTTTAGTATGTAGCACCGCAGTGGGATTCTGCTAATGAAAAAAAGCGTTAAAAGGACACAAACCCTTTCATGCTAGGATGTCGATGTTATAAAAACTAATGCATTTTTCACTAACGTGTTCTGGGATGATTATGGCTTGCACACTGGATTGCAGGAGGACTGCTAAATCATTATGTGAAATGTATGTCTGACCTGCTTTTATTTACTAAGTGTTTCGGTGAATCCTAACACTGTTCATAAAGTTTAAGCAGGAGATGTCAAGTTGCCATTTTTTATTTTCATTTTGGTGTCTGAAGGAAAACTAGGTTTGCATGGTTGGACCGTACAATAATTCATCCCATTCCTCCCTCTGCTTTCCCCCTCATCCTGTTGTGACTCATCCAGTGGTTTTGCAAGCATTAGACAACTTTAATCTGGTTTCGCAAAGACCGCAAGGCGTGGCTGGCACGAAGATGGGATCCTAGAAGTGTAGCATGCTAATTGATTGATCAGCATGCACATACTGACCAACAAATTCTCATCAGCTTTGGAACCAGCCACAGCAAATGTTCTCTTTCTCAGCTGACTGGTGGATGTAGATGCTGGTGGGGAAGGAGGATCCTGGGAAGAGATTAGGAAATAGTCACGGTTGGGGTGAGAGTAAGGGATCGTAAGAGACCTGAAAATTGGAGTGGGGATAATTCTGTGTGGAGATAGATAGGATTCAAGCTGGTTTAAAAATAAAATACTAATAATGAAAAAAAAAATCATTGCATCTGTTTATTAAATGACTGACTTGTCTTTTAATGGAAGAACAACTGACAAAAGATAAATATTAGCATTTTGTTTATAAACTAGATGAAAGATTTTTGTTCCTTCTTCCCTTAGGATTGTTTCCAGCAACACTGGGAGCAGATTCACTTCAAATTCAGCTGCATAAAATGTTTCCTGTTTTAATTAAGAGTCATTGCTGGCCAGTTGAAATATTTAATTTGTGTTGCCGTGTTTCAGCTGGAAGGTCACAACGAGCCGGTGGTGCTGCAGGTATTCGTGGGTAACGACTCTGGTCGAGTGAAGCCACACGGGTTCTACCAGGCCTGCAGAGTTACTGGGAGAAACACTACTCCCTGTAAAGAAGTGGATATAGAGGGGACTACTGTTATTGAGGTTGGACTGGACCCGAGCAACAATATGACACTTGCGTGAGTAGCTTTTTTTTTAAATATTTTCATTTATTAGCTTGTTTTCAGAAACTCATTTTCCTTTTTTGATTGGATTGGTTAGTAGCTGAAAGTCTGGAACATCTTGGCACACACCAGGCACTTAATGAAGCTACATGTATAAGAAACTTTTAAATTGCATTCTCAGTTTGTGTTTATTGTACTTAATGCTTAATCTGGTCTTTCCTAAAACTTTAGCAATTAACTTTGTTACGTTAGTTTCATGTTCTGTTTGAACAATAATGTGCATATTCAAGCATTACGTGAACTGTAAACTGGTCACTGGTTCTGCTGGTTGTCTCGTCTTTTAACAAGTACAGAACTGCTAATCAGAAGAGGGAAGGAGAATATTGGCATCTTCAGATCCCTTTAGGCCCAAAAGGCTGGGAGTTGCGGATAGTGAGGCTAAACTCTGGCTTTTCTCCTCTCTTGCTTTGCTTGCTCCATTTCTATCATTTCCACCAGGTAGTCCTTTGTCACGGACGCCTCCTGCTCTGCTGTCTTTACAGAGCTTGTCTGGTCAAGCACAGGCAATGTTTTGGCTACGGCTTACAGATGTGTGTAGGCAGTGCACGGCTGCTGCTGAGAAGGGATGTGCTCTGTCTGATGGCAGTAGCTAACTGCAGGAGATTTTTGAGCAAGTCGCCTCATCTGCTTGTGCGGTTTAGGTCTCACAAGAAACTTTAGATGTAAGCAATTCCCTAATAAGCTTTTCACATGTATCTTTATATATAGAAAGGGAGTGATCTTCTTTCAAAGTATTCTTTTCAGTAGAATGTCTTTTAATGGGTGTGTGGTTGAAAGCTGCCACTCTTTACTTAGAAGCTTGTCTTGTTTCAAGAGAAGAAATGTTTCTTCAATTTACAGCGTCCACTTCTTAAGCAGGATTATACAGTTTGCTAATAGACTGAATCAATTTGATTTTTTTTAATATAAAATATATTCCCATGATAAGTTTGGAAACTGCCTCTTAGAGAGTAATTTTATAATTGTCCTCAAGAGTTAATGTAAAACCATATAAGTATAGAGATACTAGAAGGATGAATTTGGAATTATCTAGGAAGAAAAGTTTTGCCTAGGCTGTTTTCTCAAAAGATACCGTGATGTCTCAAAAAAAATCTTCCTAGTATTTCAGTGATGCTGTAGCACCTCTCTATTGGTGGTAATGCCAGTGCCACCTTCTGAATCACACTCTCCCCTCCTCTCTGCTCCCTAGCTGTTGCTTGTTGGCCCTGATGCAGCACAAAAATTTGTTCTACTGAAATTAGGTATCAGATGGTCCCCGTACTTTTTGGATGTAGGGCCTAAGATCCTAGTAAATTTACAATATTCTTCTTCTTAACACATCAGGCTGTGTTTGTTTTTTTGTTTGTTTGTTTTCTGCTTGAAATAATTTTGCATCTAGCATGTCTTTCTGAAAGTTAGACCTGCATCACTCTCTCACCCTGGCCCTGTATACATTTCCCGTAGGACCACAGTTATGGTATGACGTATCTATCACTTCCAAGTTCCACTGAGCATAAAAAATAATATGACTACAGTAAGTTTTCTTCTACTACTGCTTTAAGTGAATGCAGAATATTTTGTAGTAATAATCTTACAAACCCAGATCTAGCCCCAGGAATGGAAGAATGAAGATCTGTGATTATAAATTGAATGCTTACCAGAATTACTTTGTTACGTTGCATTTTCTGTTTTATTCATACTACTTTCATATTCCTTCCTCCCATGATTCATCATCCAAATTATGTAGGGATGAATTGAAAACCGGGCTATATAATGAGAAAGGTCATATAGAGATTTCATGTAAATAAAAAAAAAAAACAAACCCCACCCTAATAATATTGCAGTAATTACTTCGAGTTTTGACTTTGTGGCTTGTGTAACTAGTCAAACGATTATTAAAGATGCTGAACTTCTTAAACCCTGTTAAACTCTCAACTATTTTGTGTTGTTAGGGTTGATTGCGTGGGAATACTGAAGCTGAGAAATGCTGATGTTGAAGCTAGGATAGGGATTGCTGGTTCCAAGAAAAAAAGCACACGTGCTAGGCTGGTGTTTCGTGTTAACATCACTCGCAAAGATGGTTCAACTTTGACTCTTCAGACACCTTCTTCCCCAATTTTGTGCAGTAAGTATCAAAATAAAAGTTGGTATTAGAGGACTCTGGATTTTAGTGTGATTGCCATAAAATGCCTTGGGGGAAAAAAATTCCCCAGTGTTAATCTGTGATTATTTCAGAATTGCTATGGCTAAGATCACATGGATTGATTTTTATTTGGGGTGGGGTGTTAGTTAAATTGGCTGATCGGTATTTAAAAGTAGTTAGAACTTTTATTAAATGAATCTTTGCCTTTTAAAAGGTCAGAATTTTTGTCCTGATTGCTTTGAACTTATTCTATGACTTTTTTGATACAGGTTTTAATCTCTTGTGTATTGTCACATTCATCTGTCAGCTTTCAGTGATAGAAAGGACTGATAAGTTAGTAAGCATGGCTCTCTACAGTTGTGGTAGTTCGTTGGGCCAGAGGCTGAATCTGTTCTGGTTCAGTGCAAGAATGAAACTTTTTATAGCTATTTACTAAAATGCTCTGTTTAGCACTGAGCACGGATGGCCGCGCTGACTGGTTAGGTTATACTGAACAACAGGGAAAACAAAATCAGAGGAGGCTGCAGTACATCAGGGGCTGCCTGTGCGTATACAGTCTGTAGTGACTTCCAGTTACGGGGAATTCTGTTCATCCATCAAAGAGAAGGGATAGGGAAGTGTGTTTATGGGATTATTGATACTTCTTGATAAGCAACATGATAGGAAAGCTTTTTCTCCATGCGTGGAACATAGTATGATTATGCAAGCTGCTGGGCGCTTGTGTTGTGCTCTTTCCTTTCTATAAGAAGTAGTTATTGTTTTTGTTTTTTTCTTTTTTCTCAACACTGTCAGTACCTATTGTGTCAGGGCTCCTATTCAGCTCGTCAGATACTGCAGCTTTGTTGCCAGTGAAAGAACAGATTGGAAGAGGAAATAATTAAAAACATGTGAGCTTCCACATCAGATACTGCCATGCGATTCCAGTGCTGCAGGCAACAGGCAGTTCGGCAGCTGTGCCGTGTAGCCTGTCTCTCCTTCCAGTATTCTGCTCTCACAGAGAATCCCTTTGCAAGACTTAAGGAGAGCAGGAACCCTGCGGAAACCCTGAAAAGGCTGATAACCAAAGAGGCATCACTACTGATGCGGGGGGGGACTCTCCTTCTCTTTTCAGCCGTGTTCTATGCTTTAGACAATGGTTTGACACTTGGGGTGCTCTTCCAGAAAGGCCAGCTTGGGGCGTTCCCATCCCTCGTTTTTTCCTCCTCCTGCCACTTTTTGCTAAATCTTTTTTTCCAGTGTTTTTTAAACTGGTGGAGTTCTCAAACTTATGCACTTGTTGTTAGAAAATACATAAGTACATTTGCCAGAAATATGGTTGTCTCTAGCTCCATTCCAGTCAGTATAGTATTGTAGTATCTGATATTAATTTTCAGATATAAGAAAAAAATATTTTCTATAAAATCTCCAAAAGCTATTTCTGTATACATTTTGTTTGTATCATTAACTTACTGGTTAAAGATAAGATTACTTAAAGCATAGCAGAAATGGGAATGGAAATCATCTGGTGTTTTCTTAAACCTGTAACAATCCAAAACTTGCTATCGTAAGTAGAAGCTGAGTCTGAGATGTTTGAGACCTATTTCAAAATAGGCTGTTTAGCTAAAAAAGCTAAATGCCCTTCCTGCTTAGCTTGTTGGTAAGGCCGTTCCAGTACTGGTTTATGAGGGTCCCTTGTAGTCTTCATTCTCTGTTTGTTGAATGCATCCATTTTTACCTGTAACATTAGTAGCTATGTTTTGAGATCGGGGCAGTGAGTAAAAAAGCAGAATATGAGAGTAATGACATGCTAAGGGACATTAGAAGAAAGGAAGGAGGAAAGAAGGAAATAAAAGTTATCCTTCCATAAATAAAGTTCTAAAAAAAATGCAGTAAGGAGTAAATTGGTTTAGTTTTTAGCAAGCTGGGTTTTGGTCAGTTGATAAGAAAATTTTCCTAATTGTGTAAGTTGCTAAGAGGTTGCCCAGGGATTTTATAGCATCTCCATTGCTGGAAGTCTAAAACAAAGAAACAAAATACTCTGGTTAGACTTGTCTTTGAGGAATGATGTGGGTAACACTGATCATGATGTAAAGGTTGAGAGGGAAATTCCTGAAGCTCTTTCCAGGCTTGCTTTCCAGGATTCTGTGCTTCTGCTGTCTTAACTTACTCCGAAGTTACGGTGACTTGCAGTAGACCGTAGCCAACCAAATAGAGCTGGTACCTGTATACTGGCTGATCAATATGGCATAAAATTTTGTTGTTTATTAAGTTATTTGTTTATATAAATCATCTCCTCCAGCACATTACGTCTGGTTTGTTTGCTACATACATCTTGGTACAGTACACCTCTGTAATTTCTCAAATAAGGTTTACATTTTCACTCATCAGAGGCTGTTTATGTTGTGTTTTATAACTAATATTGCTGTCAAGGTTGCAATAATGTTCCTGAAATGATAAGAAAGACATTAAGTAGACGCAGGCACTTTATTTAAGGTCTACGTTTTAAATAGGCTTTGTTAACTTGTTAGCAAACCTAAATCCAGTTACTCTTTTCAGAAGTTCATGTGCCTTGAGCATATTTAGTAGTTGCGTAACGGTTGCCTAGGAACCCACTGCAACAGTTGTAGAAAAATCCTTTCTGAAAGGTCATTAAATAATTTGGAGTGTTACAGTATGTATGTTCCTCCATGTAGTAAGCCCAGAGAATACTGTTATTAAACACCAAAAGTGGGCCACGTAAGTGCAAAGCACGAGTACAAGCTTATGCCACTAGGATTTTATGGTGAATAGAAAAGGCGGCTGAGAAAGCTTTATTAGAAACTGGAATTATTTCACAACATACTAAATGTGACAAAGTCAAAACACATTATTTTAAAATGTATGTCTGTATTTAAATTGTCTTTGGCGCTCATTTTCATTTAACACACATGGTCTTATTTGATTTATGCTTTAAGAAGCGTAGAAGTAGTTTGCAGCAAAGACAATTTGTAGTACGTGTTATAAATCATCATCTGAATCACTGGCTGAGAGGCAGAGGTTTCCAGGGATGTGTATCTGTAGCTGCATTCTCTTTGCTAGTTTATAGGCTATAAATTGCTATAATCCCCAACTACAGAGGTGCGACTCTTGCAAGGATTTGTATTAGCTGAAGTATATAGGTCTAGAAAGTCATTGAATCATAGAATGGTTTGGGTTGGAAGGGACCTTAAAGATCATCTAGTTCCAACCCCCCTGCCGTGGGCAGGGACACCTTCCACTAGATCAGGTTGCTCAAAGCCCTGGGTTAGTTCTTGCACCAGCCAGAAAGCTATGTCATGTAAAAAAAAAATCTATAAAAAAAACCCCAGGTAATATGGGAATTACTACTTTTACCCTTTTGCATAGCAGAACAAAATAAGCTTTAAAAAAAAATGTTTTTATGAGCTCAAGGATAAATTTGAAGATGTGCTTCAGCTATATCTAGGGGCTGATGCATTTGTTTATCGCTCTCTATGCCAGGAAATTACAGAACCAAATTTTCTTCTCTCCTGAACACTTCTTGAGCTTTAGCTCAAACACTGAAAGTTTCGTTTTGAAGACTTAATAAATGCAGGAGAAAAGGGAAAAGATTATTAGTGGATCGTTTACCTAAGTGTGATTTCTTGAGGTTATTACACTTAGTGAGGAAATAATAGAAACCGTTATCTTCTGAAAAGTTTTGTCATGAATGATATAGTAAAGAAAGAAGCTCAGGAATTTTGTTCTTTCCTTTATAATCCTGTAAGTAAAAGCTTTTTTGTTTTGGATGTTGATATTTTCTTGATTTCAAACTCTGTGTTTTTTCAATTGCAGCTCAACCAGCAGGAGTTCCAGAGATTCTAAAGAAAAGTCTGCACAGTTGTTCAGTGAAGGGTGAAGAGGAAGTTTTTCTGATTGGCAAGAACTTTCTAAAGGGAACAAAAGTGATTTTCCAAGAGAATGTTTCTGGTTAGTGTGAAAGCAGTGATGGTTTGGGGTGCTGAAGAGAGCATGTTTGGGTTTACGTTGGTTGATAGTTGTAGAGAACAAACGGAGAAGCAGAATCAAAGGCACTAAAATAAATTGCTTTATATGGGTGTGCAATAAATTATGCTTTTTAACTTTCATTTAGATGAGAATTCTTGGAAGGCAGAAGCTGAAATAGACATGGAATTATTTCATCAGGTACTTCTGTATTATTATTAATACTGCTACAAGAAAAAGACTCCGACTGTTTCCAAAGAAAAATCGAATAAGGCTTTCCCTCTTCCTATGCATTTATAGAAATAATGTTCCTTTTCTTCAAATAAGTTCTTTAGTGACTCTGGTAGAATATAATTGTTTTGGGTTTACACAAGTATAATTGTTCAATTTCTAATTGAGAACTTAGATACCACAGTAGGAGTGTGGTATTTGAACTTGGTGAGCAAGTCTTTGCCCTTACATACAATGTAGTTAAAAGGCCTAATACAGTTTTTCCAGTAGCTTTCCTAAGGACACATTAGATTGCTACTGAGTGGAAATATGTTGCGTATACGTTGTAGTCTTTATACCTGGCTGAATTTCTGTTCGTCTTTGTGGACTATTGGACTGAAATTAGAGAAATTTAGATGTAAATGATGTCTGACAAATGTCATCTTGCTCCCACCTCCGAAGGCAGTTTTCCATGCGTGCGCTGGTAGAAATGATTTCTCACTTCTAGTGGGATAGATAGTTGGGGAATAGACAGCCTATAGATCACTCATCGCTATTATTGTTGTTGAATGATTGCAAACCTATTTTTTGATGTCTGCTCAGTGTTAAATCTGCTTAAGTGTAACATGAAACTGCATCCTCCATCTGTTCACACTGAATACAAAGACCTGATTCAGCAGAACAGTGAAGTGTCTTGAGTCCAGCAGAATTTGATGGCAAACTGATTGCAGTTCAGTAAGGCATGTTAGGCATAAGCTTATGTTTCAAGTACTGGACTTTATGTGTCTTTCCTTTCTTCACCTTCTATTTAAGCTGTAAGTTGCCAATGAGCTTCATAAGTAGATTATTCAAATCTCTCTTCTAGCACAAGTTAGTTACTGAAAGTGTAACTTGATCACGTTTCCCCCAATGTCTTTGCTTTTTATGGTGTTTTATCAGTCTGTTTCTTTGTTTTGATGGATGTAAATACAATTAAGGTCAATAGTAATGAAGTAAGGTTTCTAATGTGATTTTTTTTTTTAATTATTTTTGCATTGCAGAATCACCTTATTGTGAAGGTGCCACCATATCATGACCAGCAAATAACCTCAGCTGTTTCTGTGGGAATATATGTGGTGACCAATGCTGGAAGATCACATGATGTGCAACCATTTACGTACACTCCAGATACATGTATGTAAAATGTAGAAATCTGGGGGAAGGAATGGACAGTTTTACCTGCTAAGCATCTCATTTCTGATTTCATAGTATTTAGTCCACACAACAGAAATGTTAAGTAACGTGGATCTTTTCAAACTCCTCTTGCTGGCGAGGTTTGCAATTGTTAAATAAGACAATCTAAAGGCTTGGCTTTTCTCATGTGTGTGGCAGGTAGCTCAAATTTCAGCTGCATGGAGGCAGCTGTTCTTATAAAGTAGCATCTATTTCTAGTATAAGGTTCAAGATGAAGATGGGCAGGGGAAAAAAGTAGACATACTACATACAGTGCACCAAATACCACCAAAAAATAGCACCAAGTTTTATCCTAAGTAATGTTGAAGTTTGACCATGTTATGTATTTTTATTTATCTGTATTACAATACACAGTGCAATTGCTGACTGGCTCTTTCATTTTTGGAAGTGAAAATGATACTTTGCGCACTGTGATCATTGGTGCATTCACAGCAACAAACAAAGTTTATGTACAACTCAGTGTTTCTCTGGGTTCCAAAGAACCTTAATTTCTTTAAGTTATAAGTAACTGGTTTGGTTTGCTTTGGGGTTTTTTGCGTGTTTGTTGTTTTAACATAAGGAAGTTTCAAAAGTGTTTTGTCTCAACAGCTGGTACTCTGAATGTTAATGTGAAGAAGGAAATCTCCAGCCCAGCCCAACATTGTTCTTTTGAAGAGGCTATAAAAGGTACTAAATTGATTCTTATCATCATTGTTAATAATTCAACTATAAATTCCTACCCAAATTTGGAGGAATGAATCAGACGTCCTGGGAAGATAAGTCTGTGCTTATAAAATCTGGCCATATTCTTACAGTGAGGTTTGTTTTCTGATTCTGAGTATTTTACTTTATAACTATATTCCTTTAAGTATATTTTAACATGAGCTAGTATAGAACAAAAACTTTGGGGGGGGGGGGGGGGGGGGAATCTGTGGGGGGGGGGGGGGAGGGCGGAAATCCTAAAAAAATTTTTTTTGTTTTCGTGCCTCAGGCCCTGAAGTCTAATCTTCATTTAATATGCTTGCAAGGGAAGAAAAAAAAGAAGCCTAAGATGGCAGTTAATACAAAGGATTTAGAAACTGCGTAGTGTTAATTTAAGCAAAAACACATGTAAAGGTGGTGGTGAGGGAAGAACTGAGTACTGAAAAACATGAACGTGCCACCTTGGTGTTTTTCGGAAGCTGTCCACCGGTTTTATAAGACTGCTTTCAGTGGGTCTAGTTATGAAGGCTAATCCTGGCAATTTCAACTTACTCCCTTCAGTGAGGTTTTTTCCCCTGACCATTCTGTCCATGCAAAGTTTGTTGTTTTGTTCCAAGGGAGCAAGTTTTAGGTTTGCCTGGTTTTTGAGTGTGAAGTGAATTGATCCTTCCGATATTGAAATAAAAGTAGAGGAAGGAAATGTTTCTTAGTTGATTGTTAAAACTATGGTAGTGTGCAAAGGTTAATGGAAATTTCCATAGCCTGCTCTGGTGAAAGCAGGTTGAAAGGTAAGCAAATTAACAATGTGATCACAAGTTTGATAGGAATCCATAGCTTCAGGTTAAAATCATGAAGCTCATGTTTGAAGTTAATAGCTTGGTCTTGGCAGGGGATATATTTACAAGTTGACTTTACAACTTGTTAAGGAGGATAATACAAGATATGATGAGTTTAAACCTGCAGAGAATATTTGGGGGAGAAATGTGCAAAAATATTTAGGACAATAAAACAAGCTGATAAAAGGACTAGTAAGATGTCTAGTAGCAAGATTAAAAATATGAGGAATATAATAACTAATGTATCAGGGCAAACCTGACATCCATCTAATTTAGTATGGAGGTTTAACCAAGGGAAGATACCAACTGCTTCAGAACATGTGCTGTTCATAAGAACACAACGTGCCACTTCTGTTGCTTCATGTCCCCCACTTAATTTATGTGATAAATCTTAATTTACTTTCTTGTGTGGGTTTTCTGCTAGCCAACTCTTTTTTGACAGTTCATTCCTGTACCTATTCTACTCTAGGTTGATCATGAACCAGAGGTCAGACAATTTTGTCTGCTTTTTATGTATTTTGTCTCTGCATATGTCCCAGCCCGTCCTTCCTCACTGTTCTGAAATGGTAAAGACTAAGTGGGGATCCAGTGGGATGCTACTTCCTTCCTGTGTCCTTTCACTGGGAGCAAAATCATAGAATTCATAATTTCTTAAGTGGCACCATTTCCAGCAGCCCTGGCCAAATAGAATGAACTGTTGCTGCCAGGGGCATGTACAGTTATGTATTGAGCTACAGGGCCTTTCTCTTCCTGTCACAGGCAATTTTAATCAGGTATCTGTGAATATTCCTTAAAATAATTTCTATTACAACATCTGCATATGTAAAAAAACCAAAACCGTGGCTTCCCAAAGCCATTACAGATTCTTAGCTCTAACATTTTAAGAGTCTGCACATTTGACAGACAAGTTACGTTTCAAGACAACAAATTTAGAATTCTACGCTGTTCTGTAAGCTGGAGGAAGATGGGGGTGTGTGGACATCCATGTAGTTCCGGTCTTTGCCTTCTAACATTGAAGTAGTGCTGGAGCATTGTTTTTAAGTGGTTAATGATGGTTTCAGTTTCCAGCTTTGGGAGAAAAGGGAAAAAAATGTATGCTTTAATAAGATGGTAACTGTTCAGAAGTTCTAAACTAAGTGTATTACAAAAACATAGTAAAAGACCAAAACCAACAGTGTTTCTCTGCTTTTGAAGCTTCTTTTTCATTATTAATCTCGCTTCTTTTTTTCATTCTTCCAACAAAATATGTCGCTGTGAACGAACATACCATTGCTACAATCTAATCTGTATACTATTGGTATTTTTTTTATTTACATAGATTTTTTTTTTTATTGTTTCTGATGAACACAACATAGAACAGAAAAGCTTATAAATTGTGACTACGGTATAGAAAAACACTGACTGCTGTCTTTAAATACACTGTATGACTAGCTGTCCTGAAGTAGATGTATTTTAGAATAGTCTCACTCAAATTGCATTCCCTGCCAGCAGCACAGCCCAACACTTCAGGTCACGGGGCTTGTATTTCTGGAGCCAGCCACCCCAAACCTGTGAGTTAACA